CCCCAAAACCCCAAAACCCCTATATAAATATTTAAAATAAACATCAATTTCATATTTTATTAATTTAATAATGGAAAGTGCAAAAGTAGATAATCCCCTTGGCTAATTTATTTAAGAAATGGTGTTAGAATTTTATGAAGAATCAAAGTACTTCCAAAAGTGTTGACCTTAGCAAGATAAAGAATGGACAGTTTTATCAGCCATTATTCAGTAAAATACGCTCAGTAATGAATTTATGATAGTAAGTCTTGCTACTGGTACTAAATCGATCCCTAAGTCACTAATGAATGAAAATGGATATATATTAAATGACTGTCATGCTGAAAACTTAGCAAGAAGGTAGTTCCTTTGATATCTTCTAATGAATCTCAATGATAAGGAATTATTCTCTTAAAAATTGTCAACGATTGATAGCAAAGATAATATTTGATATTAGTTGAATGAAAACATTCTTTTCCATTTGTATGTGAGTGAACCGCCTTGTGGTGATTCAAGTTTACTTTTAAAAGATGATTCTAATAGTAACAGTCATTGGACTGGAGCTAAGTCAACAAATTATGAGAGTTGCTAGGATCTAGGGATATCTAGGTTGAAAAGTGGGCGTAGTGATATTAAAGATGATAATAGAAGTGAGTGCATGAGCTGCTCAGATAAAATCATGATGTGGAACACTCTTGGCATCTAAGGCTCTTTATTGGGTTAATTCATTGAAAAGCCTATATATCTTTCTTCAATAATTATAGAATCCAAGTTTGCTTAGCAAATTTAAAACCTAAAAACTATAAAGAGAGGATTAATTATAAGAAAAAGATTAAAGTTTTCAGGAACCGGGATAGTTTTATTGCCTAATAATTACTTTTTCAATGAGCCTCAAATTCAAATAATAGATAAATAGTTTAAATTTAGCTGATCTTTTACCTCAAACGATTATAAATTAGCACCATCAGGTAGTTCTATGGCTTGGAATATTACTGAATCCGATAAATTGAACCTTATTATTGGGAAATTCGGGATTAAATAGGGGGGAAATATTAAAAATGTAAAAGCACTAAAATCATTTAAATCAGACATTTGCAAATACTCTATGCTTGAATTGTTGCAAAGAGTGTTGGATTTGGATTTGGAAAAAGGAAAATAGTATAATAAATTAAAGGAATAGAATATAGATTACTTTAAGTGCAAGGAATAATTGATTAGTTTGCTGAAGGGGGGTTGGACTAATTTAGAATTTAAAAGGAATTATGAAAAATTTTTTATTTTATGAATTTTACTTTCTTTCACTTAAATATTTTTTCGTGGGGTTTTGGGGTTTTGGGG